TGACAGAGTGGGGATTCGAATCTCGGTCTCCCAAATCCTAGTCCAACCCTCTCACCAAAATTGAATGAACGCTGTCACCAGAATTGAATGATCTCACATTGAGCAGGGGGTTGGACTAGATGGCCTGTGATTCTGTGATTCTAAGTTTGTAAATTCATGTCCGAAGGCATTCCCTCCAATGTCTCCGGCCAATGCCTTGTTTGAATACATGAGGGTGCCTTATATGGAGTCATAGACCATTGATTCATATGACCCAATCTTGTCCACTGTGGCTCCATTTTGGACACCTTTTCAACGCTGTACATTAAACACCTGATTAAACATCTGGTTCCCACTTGAAGAGGCAGGAGAACTAAGGCGGTGAAATTAAAACCAAATCAAACCCCCCAACCCCAAAAGCAGGTAATCTATCGGCAGCTACCCACCAGCGTCAGAGTGAGCCATGGGACCTTACGGTCCAACAGAGTGGCACAGTGGCAGAGCACCAGCTTTGCAAGCCAAAGGTCCCAAGTTCAATCCCTGGCATCTCCAGCTGAAATATCTCAGCAAGTGTTGAAAAAGGACCTTTCTCTGCCCGAGACGACGGAGACCCTCTGCCTGTCAGAGCGGGAAACGCTGACCTAGATTGACCCATAGCCTGTCCCAGTGTAAGACAACTTCATGTATCCATGCACCCTCTCCTCCACAATCCACGTCTTGCAATGTAAGTCCACAAGTAGCATTCACATACAGTCCCTTGGTGCAGTAACGGGGCATTAACAACTGTTGGTCATTGAGTCTCAAACATCCCCATTCATTTACAGAGCCTGCACACTCGGGTGTGAATTGTTTAGTGAAAGGAACTGTCAGTTTGTACCGAACATTATTAGCTTGGCACAAGGTATGAAGGCAGCACAGAGATGCTGATACATTTCCATGAAAACTACCAAAATCTTTTACAAAACACACCACTGGATGCTTCTCACATACACACCCGTTCCTAGATCTTCAGTTAAGAGGCTCTGTTGTCAGAAGACGTGAGCAAGTGACTCACAAAAGCTCAACGCCCGCCACAATTTTTGTTAGTCTTTTTGTATGTGTGTATTTTGTGTGTGTGTGTGTATGCCTAGAAGTCATGGTTGGCTTCTGGCGACCCCTAGTGGGGCTTGGACATTTCAGAGAGGTGGCCTGCTATTCAGAGAGGTGGCCTGCTATTCCCTGCCACTGTGTTCTGAGCCCTGGTATTCCTCAGAGGTCTCCCATTCAAGTACTTGCCAGGGTCGGCCTTGCTTAGCTTCTAAGATCTGATAAGATCGGGCTTGCCTGGGCTATCCAGGTCAGGGCACTTTGTTACTCTTTAAGGTGCCACTGGACTCTTGCTCTTTTCTACTGCTGCAGACGGACTAACACGGCGGCCCATCTCGATCCCTGTCAGAAGTCACTGAAACAAATGGCTCTGTTTGGCAAGCTTACTGACGCGGAGAGACTCCTGCTAGTTCCCTCTAACCTAAAACCACATCTCTCTGTGGTGGACAGTGCCATCCAATCAGAGCCAACATATGACAACCAGTGTTCCCTCTAAGCTGAGTTAGTGTGAGCTAGCTCACCGTTTTTTAGCCTCTGGTTCACACATCTTTGTCTTGGCTCAGGAAGGATGGCTCCAGAGCAAACTAATTTATCCAGCAGCCAAATCGCTCGCTCACAACTTTTAATGCCAGTCGCTCACAAAGTAGAATTTTCACTCACAAGACTCCACAGCTTGGAGAGAGCATTGTTGACAATCCCATAGAGTTTTCAAGGCAAGAGATGGACAGAGGTGGTTTCTCATTGCTTGCCTCTGCGTAGCAGTCCTGCGCTGCCTTGGTGGGATCCCATCCATTTACTAACCAGGGCGGACCTTGGTTAGGTTCTGGGATCTGATGAGACCAGGCTAGACTGGGTCGTCCAAGTCAGGGGACATCTCTCTACAAACATCATGTTGGTGAGAACATTTAGATAAGTTCAGCCTTCTCCAAAATAGGAATTTAGGGAGCTGAACCTATTCACACACTCATCTTCTACTAAAATATGACCCAAATTATCAGAATACTCGCATAAATTCTGATTTAAAAAAAGAGAGAGAGATTAAAGCTTCAAGTAATCATTTGTATTGACTTCTAAAATGCTCACTACCCTGCATTGCTTGACTGCAGTTCGAACTCCATCAAGTTTAGGGAGATGAGTACAAAACACCTTATCGTTCCTGCTTTTATTCATGAATGGACTCACTTTTTGAATCAGCTGCTCACAGTGGCCGGATAAATATTCTCTCTCATTCTCTAGGATACATGAACACTGGTGTAACACCAAGCAAGAAAGGACTGTGAAAAACACAAATGGCAACCAACAAAGCAACAACAACAAAAGTTAGGCCTCAGGTCTGAAAACTCTCACCAGTTTAAGCCTACGACCATGACACAAAGCCTAACTAACTGATGATGCTGGGCTATGGATCGGAAGCATATTATTGAACATGGCAAGAACCGAATACCAATCACCCCTCTTTTACAGAGCTCCACAGAACAACTTCAGTGATTGCAGGGCCATGCACTTAATTTAGCACTGAAATTTCCTTTTTATTACATTCATATTCTTTCTTTTATCCATCTAGGATCCTCAGAGATGACCTCTGGCTCAGTGGCAGAGCCTCTACTTAGCATGCAGGAGGTCCCAGGTTCAATCCCCCAACATCTCCAGTTTTAAAAAAGATCAGGTAGTCAGTGGTGTGAAAGACCTCTGCCTGAGACCTCGGAGAGCCACTTACCGGTCAGAATAGACAAAACTTGACCTGGATAGAGCATGGCTGACTCAGCAGAAGGCTTACCCCAGGATTCCCAAAAATCTCCTATCCGGGCTCTGACCGGACCCAACTCTGCTTATTAGCCGTAAGGAGGTCGCTGCATCTTCCCCCTCTTGGAACACCCTCGGCTATAACGCATCAGCAGACACTAGATGTAAACAGGGCTCTTTCCCCTCTTTTTCAAATTGAGCATCACAATTTTCTCCCATATGGACTGCTGCAGTAAGAAGTTAGGCGTCGGGAGCTGTCCCACTCATGTTTATAGGTACTTGATGGATGATAGCATTTCTAATATGGCCAGGTTTAATACAACGAAACACAATCCCAACGAGCTAAACCTGTTTTACCGGCAGGGTATTATCAAATCACACCAACACGCGCTGCATGAGATAACAGATTCCGGCCTATTATCCAGCCAGATCCCGGGATCCAGCACCACTTCTGCTAGGAACTGACTCAACAACAGCCTTTGGCAAGCGGTCCCTTTCCTCTCTGTGCCACAGAGAAAATAACACTAGCCTACCCTATAAGGCTGTTGTAATTATTTCTGAACATACAGCCAAGAGATGCGCTCAAGATTCTATTTCAGGCCTCTTTTCGTAAATCATTCACAAGCTGACGTTTCTCGCTCTGCCTCCCCAGTAATAATAACAAAAACTTTCCAGGAAACCACAAGAGTCTCTTCGCCAATGTTTTGCCACCAACATTTTTGTTTCTAGTTCGGCTGTAGCGCCAACCAGCTTTTTGTTGGGAAGTTTACAGGGTATACAAGGAAGGGTGCAAACACCTCAGGGTGGCGCGGTCCCTCAACTGCCACTGTGGCCAAATCATAAAAGTCAATCACCGTGGAGAGGGGAGGGGGGAGGCAGTGTGGCCTGGGTTAACCCTTCGTGGTCGCTGTCATTCGTACACGTCCATGTTCTCAACAAATGCAATGCTTTTTAAAAAGAAGTGGAACCAGAAAGGGGGGGGGGGAGGTTGGAAAAGGATTTATAAAACCATGAATGGGAAAAGCAGATGGTAGGAGGAACCGAACACCCCCCAGTTCTAGGCGCCTGCCCAGGCGACCTCCACGGGCAGAACGGAAACTGTGCACCTTTGATGCTATTGAAGCTTTTTATAAAAAAGAAACAGTGGAACGGGCGGGGGGGGGGAGAGAGAAAAATTAATAAAACCATGAACGGGAAGAGCAGATGGCAGGAGGATCCGAAGTCCTAGCCAGGCTTGCCCAACCGACCTCCATGGGCAGAAGTGAAACTGTACATCTTTGATGCTATTGCAGATTGACTTGGAAATCCCAATGGGTTCAGCTCGGTCGACTCCCCCAGGTAAAGTGCGGGACGTCCATTCCAGCCACTCCAAACACACTTAAAAGTGGGGAGCGGGCCCCCGCGGAAGCTGAAAACGATTTACTCCTAAGTAAGGATCCGGTACGGAAAGGAAACCGTCGCGCACGAGAATTCATTGCAATAAAATAGTAACTCCCATGCAAACAGGACATCCGGCTGCGCGCAAGATAAGCGCCGGGACCCGAACCCCACTCCTCTACTCAAAAGCAAGAGCGCGCCGCGGACTGCCGCTTCCGCACGCTGGCCCGGGAGCCATTCGGAGAGCACTGGAGGATGTGCGGGGTTGGGTGCGCGCACATCTCAAGGATCCCAGCTGTCAGTTTGCCCCCCTGCGCGCCGCATGGAGCAAACGCGACCGGGAGGTGCGGAGCTCCCGTTGGGCGACGCCTCCCCGCGCTAAGAATAAGGCAATGAAAAACGGGACGCGCGAAGGCCAAAGACCCCGCAGAACTTCGCGGTTCTCACGCCGCTCCTCGAAACAAAAGAGAGGAAAGGCTCGTTGCAAAAGGATTTCTCTCGTGCATTCCAGGCTTCCCCCGGCGAGGAGGCAGGGAGACCCGCGGCTTCCCTTGCAAAGAAGGGAACTGCGCACCCACCCACCCTTTCCCCAGCGAACTTCCCCCAACGCGCACCCGGGACTTTTGCAAAGCAGGAGTTTGCACTTGGGGGATGGTTTGCTTTTTAAAGGGCGCCCTTCTCTCTCCCTTTCCGCAGCTCGCCTGCCGCGTCCAGATTCGCTTCCACAAAAGTTCCCCCGGAATCCCCGAGGCGTCCAGGAGTCACTTCCGAAGCGGCCCCGATTGCATTTCTGGACGGGAGCGCTCCTTACTCACCCGAGGCGGCTCCGGCGCTCCTCCAAGCAGTCAGACGCCTCCCGTCTCAATGGGATCCTTTCCTGCCCGGCTTCGGAAAGCGATGCCTTGTTTCTTGTTTTTTAAATGATTCTTTCACACGCACGCCCAGCCCCAAGCCCCGAAGAGAGGAAGGGAATCCCGCGAACTGCGTACAATCCACCGAGCCGGCGTCCCCCGCCGAGAGAGCGCCGCGCCGCAGCGTGCTCCGAATCCCCTTGGAAGCGTGTAAATGATCAGCGGCCGCAGGGAAGCCATCCTCTTTCCTGTGACATCAGGCTGACCCCGCCCGCTCGGCGGATTCGGTTTCTCCCAGGCTCAAGTAGCACACGCCGCCCGGGACGGCCGATGGGGGGGGGGGGGGGCCGGGCCCTCCCCCAGGGGCACCCCCCGCCGGGGAGGCCGAGGGGGGGGGGGGGCTGCTGCGCCATCCGCACTGCCCCCGGGCCTTCGTCACCACCGGAATCCCCAAAGCGACCTCCCCCCCCCCACCCCCGCGCAAGAGAGCAGCTGAATGGTAACCGGAGGGACTTTGCCACCCAGGGACTCTGGGCACGTGCCCAGGGAGGGAAATTAAACCCAGAGAAATAGAAACTTTGCCTCGTTCCAAAGCAAGCAGGATTTTAGGCAATGCCTTTTATAATCAACTATCCCCAGTGTGGCGCCCGCGGGCACGTTAAGAGTGGGCCCTGCTGAATTCGAACAGTGCCCCCCTGGTGGTCCGGCATCCGGTTTCAGACAGAGGCCACCCGGTCGCCCGGGAGAGCCAACAAACAGGACAAGGAGGCCTTCCCTTAAGGTTGCTTCCCAGCACTAGTATCAAGAGGTTTGCTGCTAGTAGCGATTGATGGACCCTCTCCTCCGTGAACGAGGCCAAAACCCCTGCCCATCTCTCCCGCGAGATAAGACTTAAACAGTGCTGCGAGATGGGGGCACTGTTGGGATTTTGACGCCATCCTTTTTTGTAGGGAATTTGATGATTGACTAGTCGATGCTGTTTTTTTCTGTGTGTACTTTGATGTAAACCACCCTGAGCCCAGCTGTGGGGAAGGGCAGTCAAAAATCCATTTTTAAATTATTATTATTATTACTGCTATGGTTGCTGTTATTGGAAAGTGCCCTCCAGTCACAGCTGACTTAGGGCGACCCCTGGTGGGGTTTTCAAGGCAGAAGACATAGTGTGGTGGCCGGCCATGGCCTGCCTCTCTGTAGCAACCCCGGGCTTTCTTGGTGGTCTCCCATCTGAATACTAACCGGGGCCAATCCTGCTTAATAGAGAGCCAGTTTGGTATAGTGGTTAAGAGCACGGACTCTAATCTGGGAGAACCAGGTTTGATCCCCCACGCCTCCACTCGCGGCTGCTGGTGTGACCTTGGGTCCGTCACAAGTTCTCTCGGAGCTGTCCTATCACAAGCAGTTCTCTCACGAGCTCTCTCAGCCCCACCTACCTCACAGGGTGTCTGTTGTGGGGGGGGGGGGAGAAGGAGATTGTAAGGTGCTCTGAGGCTGAGTGAAGGGCGGGGTATGAATCCAGTCTCCTTCTGAGCTCTGGCAAGATTGGGCTAGCCTGGCCCATCCAGGTAACGGCTTTTATTAGAATCAACCGGAATGGACACAAAATATTCTGCTAGCTTTTGAGCTCCACAGAACTCTTCATCAGTGCTGGGACGTTGCAGAATCCTCCCTGAGCATGCCTCCTCCCCTTCCAAGCCACACGTGCCAGTGACTCTCACTAGCAAGGAGCTCCAATTACTGGCTGAGCGAAGAACCACCCAGAATCTATTCCCCGTCAGCCTCATTGAGTGACCGCAGATTCCAGCACTGTCCCGCATTGGTGCCCACCCAGGGGTCATTTCATAGAAAAAGAGGTGCAGGAGCTCATTAGCATAACTTATTAGCATAGCTTATTTGCATACACCACACCCCCTGACATCACCGGAAGTGTCAGAAGGCAACACCCACCGCTCAGGCTCCACTGGACTGTTTTGGGTTGCTAGCTATTGGGGGGGGGGGACGTGCAGATCTGCCCTCGCAGAGGAGGGAGAGCTTATACCTGAAGGCAGGCTGGGGGGGGGGCTCTGCAACTTACCTGGCTGCTGCTTGCTCCTCGTGGCCCAACTGAGGGCTGCTGGTAGCAAGGGGCAGGGCTTGTTGCATGGGCCCGCCCCCTGGGCTCCTTACTGCCAGAGCTCCGCTCCTGTGCAATCCCGCAGGAAATGGCCCCTGTGCCCACCGATGTGTTCACCGGTGCCTCCTCACATTTGGAAGATGAATCTAAAAGCTCTTGAACGGACCTCAAAAAAGTGTCAGGTCAGACTGCAGAGGAGGAATTATGTTTTTTTTCAAGGTTTTCAAGGTTCAACTTCCCTGTTAAATGGGTCGCCCAGGCTACCCCAGTCTCATCAGATCTCAGAAGCTAAGCAGGATCGGCCTTGGTCACTATTTGGATGGGAGACAGTGCTCCCTTTAAGCTGCGGAGTCTTCATGTGAGCAAAAAATTCTACTTCGTGAGCTGCTGGCATTAAAGGTGTGAGTGAGCAACTTGGCTACTGCATAAATTAGTTTGCTCTGGAGCCGTCCTTCCTGAGCTAAGACAAAAATGCGTGAGCTGGAGGCTAAAAAACGGTGAGCTAGCTCACACTAACTCAGCTTAGAGGGAACACTGGAGACCACCCAGGAGGTCCCTGGTTGCTTCGCAGAGGCAGGCCATGGCAAACCACCTATGAAAGTCTCTTGCCTCGAAACCCCACAAGCCAGCTTGACAGCAAGAAAAACTTTAAAGCTGCCTCCCTCATATAATCATGTTTTCCTCGAGGGCCTGTGACAAATTTGAATCCCCTACAGTCTGAAGTAGGCCCAATGGATCCCAAGTCGTTTCTTCCGAGCAGTGAAAAGTGGTTTTTGTTAGGGTCATCTTTTAATGGGAATGGCTTGGCCTCTGATCACTACCACCCCCGCGCCCCTCAAGATCATTTAGTTCTTGTGACTGATGGTTGTTTTTGACAGGGCTCTTTTTGTAGATAAAGCCCAGCAGGAACTCATTAGCATAATAGGCCACACCCAACAGCAGAAACTCATTAGCATATTAGGCCACACCCATGACCGCACAGCTTATTGGCATATTAGGCCACACCCCCATGTTACTAGAAGTGTGCTCATCCAGCCACACCCACCTTTTGCTTCTTATTCTTTTTACCTTGTTTGTTGTCAAAACCCAGGGCTTTTTTGGAGCAGGAGCTCCTTTGCATGGTAGGCCACACACCCCTAATGTAGCCAATCCTAATGAGCTTCTGCTGTTGGGTGTGGCCTATTATGCTAATGAGTTCCTGCTAGGTGTGGCCAACTTGGAAGCCAGCCGGAACTCCGTTCCTGTGCGTTCCTGTCCAAAAATAACCCTGGTTTTTGAATTTGATTTCGATAGCAATTACATGTGGGAAGGAATCGGTAATTCTTACCGATTCATTTTTACCACTGTGTCATAAATGTTCATGACCTTTTATGGCACAAGCAAACGGATGGAGGGCCAGGGGAAGACGATACATTTAATACGCAATGTTCATGGTGCCCTTATTATAGGTTCTCATGGCTATGCAGTCTGCAAAATGCTTGGAGGGTTTTGGTGTGTTGTTGTAGAGCAAACCGAGAGCGTGCTCAGGCCCAGCAGTCCCGATTAGTCAGAGTCTCAGTGCCTGCCATATATTTTCATTCCCTTTTTTATATAAAGAAATACCACATAGCAGAGAAATTGAATTATACATTTACAAGTAATAGAATTTACAGGCATTAGAAATTGAATCATGACTTGTTGTTATTGCATTACGCATATGGAATGATGCGGATTTGCGAAGATGCAGATCCGCGGAGTCAAGATTGAAAGCCTTGGGGGCTTCATGGTGCAGTCTGGAGGAGAAGAAGTGTGCGTGCTGCTTGAACACTTATACCCAGAATTAAGCCTTGCTGGTCTTCAAGGTGCCACCAGACTCAAACTTTGTTCTGTCGCTTCAGACCAACACGGCTGCCTACCTGGATCTAATCTAGAGGAGAGTTACTCCATTCTAAACCCATTGCAATCAATGGATTTAGACCGGTGGCTCAGAGGTTAAGGGGCTGAACTGCAGACCGGAAGGTCGGTAGTTTGACAGTTCGAGACCTGAGTGTGCCGCGTGATGGAGTGAGCTCCCGTCTCTAGTTCCAGCTCCTGCCAACCTAGCAGTGCGAAAGCAAGAAATTGCAAGTAGATAAATAGGTACCGCTTCGGTGGGAAGGTAACAGCGTTCCCTGCACCTCGGCGTTTAGTCATGCCGGCCACATCACCACGGAAACGTCCTTGGACAGCGCTGGCTCGTCGGCTTGGAAACAGCCAAAGTCGGATTCGACTGGCTTTCAAGCAAGGGAAGCTTTACCTTTACCTCTGCATTGGGGGCCATGGTGGCTCAGAGGTTAAGACACTGAGCTGCAGACTGGAAGGTCTGTAGTTCGGCAGTTCTAGACCCTAGTACCACATGACGGAGTGAGCTCCCATCTCTGGCCCCAGCTCCTGCCAACCTAGTGGTTCGAAAGCAAGAAATTGCAAGTAGGTAAATAGGTACCGCTTTGGTGGGAAGGTAACAGCGTTCTGTGCGCCTCAGCATTTAGTCATGCTGGCCACATGGCCATGGAAACGTCTTCGGACAGCACTGGCTCTTTGGCTTGGAAACAGAGATGAGCACCGCCCCCTACCGTCGGATTTGACTAGCTTTCGAGCAAGGGAGACCTTTACCTTAACTCTGCATTGGATCGCTGTGCTAGCTAAAGATGGCCAAGTCCAAACAATTATAGATTTTTTTAAAAAAAAAGTTTTTCACGCTTAAACTTTCACTGAAACCTTTCAAGACAGGGAAGCAGCAAAGCAAAACAGGAGGTGACCTTTGTCAGATCTTCTCGCGCTCTGGTTCGATCCTCACTTCCTGGGAAACAAGCCTGCTTGAGGGTAGTGGGGACCAGTGTTCCCTCTAAGCTGAGTTAGTGTGAGCTAGCTCACAGTTTTTTAGCCTCCGGCTCACACATTTTTGTCTTCGCTCAGGAAGGATGGCTCCAGAGCAAACTAATTCATGCAGTAGCCAAATCGCTCGCTCACAGCTTTATTGCCAGTTGCTCACAGAGTAGATTTTTTGCTCACGACTCCACAGCTTAGAGGGAGCATTGGTTGGGACTTGCTTCCAAATAAATCCCCACTGAAAAGAATGGGATGTACTTCCAAGTAATCCCCATGTAAGA